AGCACCGAGTCTGGGGTACATTGTCTGCATGATCATTTCCAAAGTTGAACCGTGGACGTGGTACATTCCCAAATCGTAGTCGGCATTGACGAGTTATTGGTTGGTGCTAAGAATGGCGATACTCACTGACGATGCCGGCGAAACGTCTGGGAATGTACCACGTCCACAGTTCAACTTTGGAAATGCTCATGCGGACAATGGACCCCGGACTAGGTGCGTTCCATTAATTCTTTCTACCAAAATGACCATGTCGCGAAAGATAATTTTGCTCAAAATTCACCCAAACAGGCGGAAACGCGAGATCTTGAACCAGACGACAAGACGATTGAAAGAAGCGATCATGGTTGTTCAGTCCCGCGGAGAAAGCTAGTTTTGGCCAAACTTTTCCCATACAACTGTCCAAACCACATTTCCCAATCCGTTATTCCATGCGAGACTACAGCCAGAGCAAGAAAGTAGAAGCTGTAGCAAACGGCCTTGGAGACGGCTGGTCTCGTTGGCAGGCGGTGCCCACTCCGAGGTCGGTTTCTAGGGCCCAGTTTGCCTACCTCGTGTCCAACCGGCAGTCCCGCCATGACGCCCATGAGTAGGAGGATGGTCTCGTACGGCAGGCATGTGTAGGCCAGCGAGAGGCAGGCCAAATGGCCGCCGGGCGCCAGACAGGTCTGCTTCACAAGACCGGCCAACGTAGGCAGAGACACTCGCGAGAGGTTGTTGCGCGACAAGTTCAGCTCGTAGAGACCGGTCAATGGACGCCAGCGGAAGACGAGGAAGTTGACGTCTTCAGGCGAGAGACTGCAATCCTGTAGTCGAGCCGAAAGAAGAAGAAAGAATCGAGTGATGGAGGCCAGTTTCACAATTTTGCTTCATCTCAAATAGAAGGTTTAACATTCGGTGTCAAAACGACAGTATGCAATATTGATACATCATATACGCCTCTGGCTTGCACAAACTATTTGGGAAAACTTGCTATGATTCTATATGTCATATGATGAATCATTATCATTGGTTATCATTTTGATAACCATATTACAACCTGGTAACAGGAAGATGCTACGAGGTCTTCAAAACCCACATTTTTGAGGCAACAAGCACATCTGTGACGAAAATTCGGGTTTATAGGCATCATGTGGTTCACGATTGTTGAGAGCACCATCAGATCTAGGCTCCATTCTTATAACACACTTTAAGCTTAATACCGAGAAAGAGTTAAGAGGATATTCTAAAGCAAGGGTTTTTTCGTTAAAAAGTAAGTACATGAAATATATTCACCCTATTTCGTTTAAGGTGATATGAGGGCTGGCAGTTGAATTTTCCCACAATGACATGACAATACCTAATCTTTCCATTTAATTTTACATAGCCTTGCTTGTTAAAAGTAATTCTTGTCCAGTCTCCTTATCATCTTTAACAAAAAACGGGTGAGAAAACCTCATATATATAATCTACCGGTAGTTTCAACCAGCTATTTATAAACGGAAAATAAGTAATATACATTTTAAATAGATAAGTAGAGTTTCGAGACTACCAGAAACATCAGTTCTATTCATATCAATATGGGAAAATTCTACTACCAGTCCTTCATCACCTTGAACGAAATATGCCGAATACATCTCATATCACTGATTTACTGATCGCCTCGAAACTCTACTTACATACGAATAATAAGTAACGTAGTCGATTGTTATAACAAAAATACGTTTGCTTCATCGACAATCCCACAAAAGAATGTGATATGGGAAAAGGCATGGCCTTCCTATATATTCTCATCTGCCCTGTGGCCCAAGAGAACTCGTGGCAATGTGACATTCTGTACTGTCACAGTTCGAATCCCGCTGGGGCTGTTGATATGACTTATGCGAGGTCGAAACTGCGTCCAGCCTGGATGAGAACAACTTTTGGGAAAGCAAGGCTATGTGAGATTCTATGGAAACGTCATAGTAATATCATTGTGAGAAAATTATACTACCAGTCCTTCATCACCTTTAACGAAACAGATTGAATACACCTCATATAAGTAGTATATTCTCGATTGTCATGGTAAATAAAACTTTGCTTCATCAACAAACGCACCAAAAAGAGCGATATGGGACATATATGACTGTACATTCTCGAAATACACCTCTGACCTGTGACCCAAGAGCGCTCGTGGCAATAGGGCGTAGTGGTTGACCTGAACTGTCATGGTTCGAGTCCCTCTGAGGGTCTTGCTGAGGCCTAGATGAGGTCGAAAACTTTAGTTCAGCCTGGATGAGAATACCTTTTGGGAGTCAAAGATATGTGAAATTTAGTGGAAGCATACAATCTCTTTATAGCATTGTGGGAAATTTGAACTACTAATATCCTTATCATCCAAGACGGAATCGTTTACATATATCTGAAGGTTCTTTGGTGTAAGTCGCATTGGCATAAAACACCTTTATAGCTATATTCGAAGCAAGGATAGATTTCTTAAGGGTGTGTGAATCCCAATAGAAAATAACTACGGATTTTGGTCAAGCGTTGGTTGGATTTGAGTCAATCTTGTCAGATTCCTGCGATAATGTCGGAAGCTTTTGTATCTAATCAGAGTATGGAACAATTGTCATTCCTATTTGAAGATGCCACCTTCTATCCGGTAAAGCATTATCACCACGAAAAGGGAAAGAAGATCTTCCGGTAGTTTGTTCATAAGATCTGTGTTTATCCCAATCCGTTTAAGGTGTTGAATGACTGGTAGCTGAATTTTCCACAATCATATGAGCGGACCTTTCCATTCAATTTCACACAGCCCTGCTTCCCAAATGGCATTATCACCCGGCCAGACCTGCAGTCTCGATAACTCCTGATTCCCATCAGCCTTCCCGACCGACTGACCTGCAGGTTGAGATACTCCAGCGGCTGGTTGAGGCCCGAAAGAAGGGTCTTCAGGCGGCCGGTCAGATGGCATCTGGTCAGACCAAGTCGCTGTAGATGGCGCAGCGAAAGGAGGGCTCGGTTGAGCAGCTTGCAGGCCGCCTCGGCCGTGGTACAGGCCGTCGAGAGGGCCTGTATCGTGGGCCAGTTGCCAGGGCCGGTCGAACTTACTCCGGTCCCGGTTCCGGGGCTCTTGGCCGGACGCGTCGTCGTTTCCATCGCCTCCACGGGCGCCACAGCCTCGACCGTCTCGACGGTCTCGACGAGCTCGACAGCCTCGACAGTCTGGACGGTCTCGACGGCCTCGACCGGGTTGGGGCCCGACGCCGAGGGACTGGAGTGGGCAAATGACGGCGGCGGCGGCAAACAGGCCGGCAGAGAACAGGCGCGCAGGTTGCGCAGGCTGATGAGCCATCCGAGCACGGAGGGCAGAACCACGGCCAGACTGCAGCCGACCGCGGGATCCTCCAACTCGAACTGGGTGATCGACTGGAGGGCGGTCGAGGCCGGACGAAAAACAGATTTATTTTAAGTTATTTTTCGTCAATATCACCTTTAATAGGCAGTCATTAGATATGAAATAAAAGATCTATTCACCCTCTCTTTCGTTTGAGCTCATACAAGACTGATGGTTGAATTTTCCCATTCCATTCACATTCACAAAATGGAATGGACTGCCCATTCGAGCACCTTCAGCGGGACTCGAACACGTGTTTTTAGTCGTGCAGCGTACGGTCTCGGCACCTTAACTGCTGCGCTTCACTGTCAAATGTTGAACATGCATTTGAGGGTCAGACCTCCCCCACATCAATTTCTGTAGCGGGATTGTCAACGAAGCAAGGTTGCATTTGCCATAGCAACCTACTGGTAGTCTCGAAAGCCTAGTTATTAGCAGAGTAAGAGTCATATACTCAAATGCTGTAGCAAATACAACTTGGCCTCGCCGATGGTCCGAACAGATAAGTGTGATATGGAAAAGAAAAAAAGATGGGTTTTGAGGAATCTCTTTGGTTCACAAGTATTTAGCAAAAGTCTTTTGTGAAGAGATCCAAAGGTTGACCCCACCATAAAGCAATTGTGCATTGCTATTGGTTCTACTGAAACAATCATGATGACGCTGTTTTCTAGGCA